TACTATTTATTTCTATATTTTAGAAAGAATTTATTTTTATATTTATTAATTAAATAAAATATATATTAGTTAATTATATAATTAGTTTATATAGTTTTTTTATAAAGTTCCTAATAGATAATTTATTATATTGTTATTTTAAAAGTTTTATCTTCTAGTATATATATAATATTATTTATCTAATATTTAAGTTAAAAATTAATATAAAAGTATAATATCTTTTTAAGCAGCTACTTATTATTATTTTTAGGTTTTATATTCCTATACTATTTTAACTTATTAAAGAGATTTTATAATTTATTTTTAAAATAACTTTATTTATAATTATATTATCTATATATTTATTATTTTTATCTAAGTTATTTTATTATTTTATTAAAGTTTATATTAAGTAATTTATATGCTTCTTTTATTTATAATAAAATATTATTTAATATATTAATTTGTTCCTACTTTTTATATTTAATTAGCGTTTATTCTTAAGTATTATTATTTATTATTATAAAAAATAATATATTTAAGTTTATATTATTTATTAAGCTTTTATCTTCTTTATTATTAATTAATAATAAGTATAGTAATAAAAGTTTTTATAAAATATTTAATTATCTTTGCACTTAGTTCTTTAACTAGTAGTTATATATAATATATCTTGTTTTACTATATTTATAATATTTCTTTTAGTTACTTTTTTTATAATTACTTTTACTATTATATTATAATATTAATATATTTAGCTTTATAGGATTATTTTATAGATTAGTACTTCTTAGCTATCTTACTTTATAGTTATAGCGTTTTTAGTATTTTATTATATTATTATTATATTTTATAGTAACTTATTTTATATACTATTTTTATTGTTTGCTTCGCTTTATATATTATTAATATAACTTATTATTAATTTTAATTATTATTTTTATAAAATTATTAGTATTTTTAATTTCTTTATTATATTATATTAGCTTATTTTAAATATCGTTTTTTAGTCCTTATTTAAATATAGATATTTAAGCTTTATTATTCTATTTTATTATTACTATATAATATTAAAAAATAGTTATGTAGTTAGCTGCTTTTTTAGTTTATTATAGTTATTATATTATTAATTTAATATACTATTTTTTATTAATAAGTTTAAATACTTATTAGATTTATTTTTAAATTTTTTTATTAATAATTCTATTTATATACTTTCTAAAGTCTAAATTAATCTATAATAATACTTTGCCCTTTATATATATTATTATAAAAGCTATTTTAATTTTATTTTTAATATTAGATATTAGTTTAAAGTAGAGATTTAACTAGAATAACTAGTTATTAAACTTATTTTTTTTATAAAAGAGGTTAAGCTTTAAAGGTTTAGTTCTATCCCTTTTAATAGCAGTTAGTCGATATATTATATACTTTTACTAGGAGTATTATCTATTTATAATAGATTTAGTTATATTTATTTTAAGGGTATTTAATATATTATAACCTTAATATTTAAATTAGTAAATATTATTAATTAATTTAACTATAAATTAGCAAGTTAGTTTTCTTAGAATATAAATAGTAGTTAAAATATAAATAAAAATAGATAGTGAAATAGAATTAAGTTATAACTATTTTAGATTTTATAGTAAAGAATAAAACTTATATTAAATATAAAAAAATCTATTTAAAAAAAGGAATAAAAGGTTTTATATATATAACTTTATTTAACTTACTTAATAGTATTTAACCTTTAATTATTTTAAATATACTTGATTTAAAGGTTACTTAGTGTTCTTAGCGCTTAAGTATACTTAAGTACTTTAGCTATCTTTTCCTCTTTTTAGTTATTCTTTTTTATAATTTAATATAGCTATAGTCTCTATCTTGTAACGTTTACCTAGTCACGCTTATTACGCAAGGTCGTAACAATATACTAATTAAATAAAGCTATATTAATAGTAAAAAGTTTATAAAGTAGTTATAGGAGAAGCTACTTTTTCTATATAATACTTACTTTAGCTTAAGGAGTATTTTATATATAGATAACTTATTAATTTATTATAATCCCTAGGTTTAATAACTAATAAATAAGAAAAGAATACTACTCTAGTACTTACTATTATACTTGCTAGTATTTAATCTTATTAAGCTAAGTTTTAATAGTTTAAAAGTATAAATAAAGTAGTATTTCTAATATATATATAATATATTTAAAGGAAATTTTAAGGCTTTTTTTAAGTATATAGTTAAGGAGAATAACTATAATAGGATAGCAATTAATTTCTTTAAATATAGTAGTACTAGCTATATATTTAATAGAAATTATATTAAGTATAAAAAAGATCTTAAGAAATATAAAGTAATGTATATTTAAATAAACTAATTAATATAATAATTTCTACCTATAATTATTTAATAATATATAACTAGCTTATTATATTTTTTTAAATTTATAAATTTCTTTATAAATATTAGTTAAGAAACCTACTAGAATACCTTTTCTTATAGCTTATTTATAAAGATTATAATTAATATTAAATATTGATACGGATATGGCTGGAGCAGGAGTCTTGGCACAGACGGGTAGATAGCTTTGCGCACAAGGTGAGAGGAGTTCCTCATCATCATCATACTAATTACTATGCAATCAAGGAATATCTCCTCCACAACCATGCTCCGGTGCTTGCTTTTGTATCAAATATAGCCTATAGATAATAGCTATTTTAATATATATTATCTATTATAGCTTTTATTTTTTTATAAATAAGTTATTATAGATTTTTTTTAAGCTTTAATTTCTAGAAAGTATTTATTATATAATTATCTTAATTAATACTATAAATAAGACTTAAGTTATATTAAATAAGAAAGGATTAAGTTATTAATATAAGAGGAAGAAGAGATAAATTAAGAGGAAAATATAAAAAAAATTAATAATTAGGTTAAAGAATATATTAATAATAATATTAGCTATTTAATAACTCCTCCTCCTCCTCCTCATAGTAATCTTCCTCCTTTTTATAGTGTTACTCTTTTCTATTATAATATTTTTTATAATACTTATTTTATTTTTCTTTATATTTTTTATAATTATTTTTATATTTTTCTTATTAAAGCTTATATTACTTATAATCTATTTTATAGCGTTAGTATTCTTCTTCTACTTAAGCTCTTTTAGCTTTAGTATTATCTTTTATTTTTTCTTTTTTATATTTAGTTTTAAAATCAATTTTATAATTTTATTAAGTAAGATAAAAATAAGTAAATAAGTCTTTAGGTAAATAATTAATAGTAGCGATATTACTATAGATATTATAAGCCTAAGCCTTTTTCTAAATAAAAATATTAATTAGAAAGTGCTTATTACTTTAATTAATATAATATATATCTTAATTTCTATTATTATTTAAGTAACTAGAGTTATTATAAATCTATTTTAATTAAAGTTAAAGTATTATTTAAGTAAGATCTTTATATATATTATTAAGTCTCTTTTATTTATTAAGTTGCTTAATTATTTAAGTTTTCTTTACTTATAGAAAGGGGTTTAAACTATTAATTTCTAATACTATTTACTTAGGAGTAAAATTTTTAAAAAGAGTACTAGTAGGAGGAGTTAGAGGCTAAGGAATAAGATTACCTTTTAATATCTTTATTAATAGATTATAGCCTTTATTACTAAGGCTATAATTAATAATAAAATAAATAGTAATAATAATCTTTTTATTTAGAAAGTCTTTATAATAAGTATTAATAATAGACTTAATTTCTTTTATATATTCTTAAAGAATAATAAAGGTAAAAGTATTTTTATTTTTATTATAGTAAATATTAATTTTAATATTATAAAGATTATTAATAATATTAGCTTTTATTAACTTTTAATTAAAGTAAGCTTAAATAGCTTTTAGCTCTAGCTATAGATTATTAATAATATTAAAGAATTTTAAATAAAGGAAATAAGCTTCCTTCTTTTAAGTATATAGTACTAATAGAATAAGGAATATCTAGTAGTTATAATTAATAATATATTATATATTAGTTTTATTCTTTTTAAATAAATAATTATTAATATAAAGCTTATTAGCTTCTTAAATATAGTTAATATAGCCTTTAATTATTTTTAACTATTTATTATTCTACTCTTTTATTATATTTTTTAAAAGCTTTATACCTAGGTTTAGAAAATACTTTATAAAATTAACTTTATTTTTTATTATAATATTCTTCTTTTTTAGTTAATAGCTTATTAGCGTTAACTTATTAGAAAGCTTAGGCCCTAACTATTTAGAAGGTTGTATTCCTTTTTTAATACTTTTATCCTATATAATAGTCTTCTTTTTTAAAGGCATATAAAAATAAGAGGAAGCCTAATAGCAAGGAAGAGGAAGTTAAAAGGATTCACTAGAAGATAGCTCTGCAACTATAATATAACGGGTTTTCAGAGGTATAGTAGCATACTTAAGCTATTATACTAAGCTAATAATTATATAGCTAATTTTGAAAGATTTGTTTTTAAACGTTCGAAAGGCATGCGTTAGTTGGCGAAAGGAGGATTACGATCGCATACAAATTAGGGGGGGTTAAATTTTTTTCGCCAAGCCGAGCGATTAACTGGAATACCCTAATTGCGCGATCTCAGAGCCGCCATTATGCTACTAGAGGAGTAGGGTCAGATCCTACAACTACTTCAAATCATGTAGATGTCGCCAGTTTGTCGTGATAAAAATGGCTATGGCCCAGCCAAGTTCCACTCAGCAACCCCTGCTCGCCTCGAGGATAACTAAAGCGGCAACACCCGCGCGACGTCCAGGTCAGACATTTTTGGTTGTCTTGTACTGCCAAGAAGTACAAGTGCTTTAGATTCTGTCCCGATTAGAGCAATATCAGATACAAACCCGGGACCCGTGAATCACGTACCTCAGTTGTGCTCACAAGTCCTTCGAAGTCAATAGACGCTCATGCTGTTCGTCGATACACCATGCTAAGAAAGACCGCTCGTTCGCTGGACATTCCAGATGTCTCTAAGGCTCTTAGTACGAGATCAACCTGTTCGTACACTTGCGATCATAACCAGTACACACGCTCTCATCTTCCAACATGGCATGTCTCCAAGCGTCCATGCGCAGTCGAATCCGTATCCCCCAGCGAAGACAGTCTCTAAATGCATGGTAGAATTCTCCAACAATGCAGATCTGTCCGAGTATCGCGTGCTCAGGCCATCAGGGATTCATGGGACTCTTGGTCTCATCAATATTGGGCAAGACTTATTCCTCTGTGTCATCACTGAAGCAGCTCAAGTTGCCAAAGTTAGGCCTTACGAAACAGTACATAAGATACACTCCGTCGAATTCTACTGTTTAACCAACAGCAACTACGATCTCGACTACCGGCAGGATTTTAATCCATATACTGCTGAGACATTCCCATCGCATGGCCATCATCGTGGGACGTATGGGGATGATCCGTCCTTTGAGCATCCTTGCCATGAACTCAGCAGGATGCTCAGCAGTGGCACATTCTACTATAGTGTTGATTTTGACCTTACCAATCGACTGCAGAGCAGAATCTCCGAAGAATCAGCCTTCGACGTGGAAAGCCTAGATGAAGGTTTCTTGTGGAATGCATATATGATTGAGCCACTTATTAAGTTTAGAGCCCGACTTTCCAAAGGAGAGAGGGTGTTACTGGATAAGTCACGTATCTTAACTTCAGCAATTAGAGGCTTCGTATCTACTGTCACGGTGCCAGCATCCGCCACGAGAGGAACAAGACCTAACTTGCCGGCTACCCTTACGCTTATCTCTAGATTATCCTGTCGTCGGGCAGGAACGAGATTCAATTCTCGAGGCATTGATGACGAAGGCAACGCAGCGAACTTTGTGGAGACCGAAACAATTCTTTGGCATCCCACTGGACTCTGCTTCTCATACGCCCAGGTGCGAGGTTCTGTACCCCTCTTTTGGGAACAAGCTCCAGGCCTCCTCCCCGGCCAGCACAAAATTCAGGTGACGCGTTCTCCTGAAGCAACTCAGCCAGCTTTTGACAAGCATTTCGAATCTTTAGAGACTGATTACGGAGTCATCAGCATTCTAAACTTGTTGAGTGAATCCAAACCCGGGGAAGCTGAGTTGACGGCTAGATACAAGTATCACATCCAGCATAGTCCACTTAATGATGTCGTCCACGTGGGTACGCCATCGGAGAATCGTCTACTAGACGTGCAATTTGACTTTCACGCGGAGACTCGAGGTGGGGGCTATGAGTCCGCAGGTGCGGTCAAATATCTTGTGCAGCATGCAGCTGAATCTTTTGGATTTTTCCTTTGTGAAGATGTACAATCAAATGAAAAGTCATCGAGGTCTAGCAATTCAATGATCATGTTCCAGCAAGATGGGGTGTTCCGCACGAATTGCCTAGACTGCCTTGACCGCACGAACCTAATCCAGACTATCCTTTCGCAAATGGCACTGGAGCTTTTCTTTAAGCACCGAAGGGAGTCTATCTCTCCAGATTACTGGGGTCGACATTCCATTGTATGGGCAGATAACGGAGACGCCTTGTCCAAGATTTATGCCGGTACGGGTGCTCTTAAATCTTCATTTACCCGCCACGGAAAAATGAGCATAGCAGGAGCCATAGCGGACGCACGAAAGTCGGCCACGAGGCTTTATGTCAACAATTTCGTCGATAAAGGCAAGCAAAACACGATTGATATGCTGCTTGGCCGATTAGTGGACCAGTCTCCAGTTTATCTTTACGACCCCATTACAGACTACGTGAACTCTGAGCTAAATCGCAGAGTCCACGAGTTTTCCAATTCTGAGAATATCCAAATTTGGGTTGGCACTTTGAACGTGAACGGTAAGACTACTGGTTTGCAGCAAGATTTGTCATCATGGCTATGCCCTCAACCCAACTGGTCACGACAGCGACCCGATATTGTAGTAGTAGGTCTTCAAGAGATTGTCGAGCTCAGTCCGCAGCAAATCATGTCGACAGACCCTGTCAGGCTACAGGGTTGGGAACAGGCAGTCAAACAGACCATCAACAAAGACTTACTGGAGGGTTACGTACTCCTGCGCACTGGTCAGCTCGTTGGTGCAGCTCTTATGGTTTTCGTTAAGACTAGTGCTCTGAGTAGGATCAAGAATGTGGAAGGTAGCACTAAGAAGACAGGTTTGTCAGGTATGGCAGGGAACAAAGGAGCTGTGGCAATCAGAATGGATTTCGCAAGCACTCGCCTCTGCTTTGTGACTGCACACCTGGCGGCGGGTTTTGCCAACTTTGAAGAACGAAATCACGACTATCGAACGATCAGTCACGGTTTACACTTTCTGCGAAATCGCTCGATAGAAGACCACGATACAATAATTTGGGCTGGAGACTTCAATTATCGAATTGGGTTGGGCGACGAAAAGGTTCGACATCTTGTAAAACTCGGTGATCTTGACAGTTTATATAAGAATGATCAGCTCAATTTGCAAATGGTTGCTGGTCGGACCTTCCCTCATTACTCTGAGTCTCGAATTACATTTTTGCCGACTTACAAATTCGATATTGCAAGCGATAACTATGACTCGTCCGAGAAAGCCCGCATACCGGCATGGTGCGATCGAGTGTTACGTAAAGGGGAAAATCTCAAGCAGATCAATTACATCGCAGCTCCGCTTCGCTTCTCGGATCATCGACCTGTTTATGCGACGTTTGAATGCACAGTAGATGTCGTACATGAGGTGAGAAAGGAACAACTGAGCCATGAGATATACACCAAGAGGAAGGCCGAAATTGGTGATGCGACGGCTGGTCTCAAGGGAGATGGGTTTGCTGAGGACATGATGGGGTATGAACCAATTGCTCCAGAATTGCCGCCAGCCAGTTCTGACCGCCAAAAATGGTGGCTCGACAATAGCCTCCCAGCGCGGTCGCAGCTCAAAGCTCCTGGAGAGATGTACGAGCTCAATAAGGACCGACCTGCCAATCCTTTCATTGAGGCTACTGAGTCAGATTGGGTGCTTGTATCGAAAGGACGCCCAAACACTAACAGGCCGGCAACAACTGCACCACCCGTATTCCGGAAACCGGCACCACCAATCCCTCAGAAACCAGAATCACTTTCAAGCAATGGTGAACCGGAGCTTGTAAGCAACAAAAAGAGTCATGATGATGATATTCTCAGATCAATTAAATTACCAACGGAGGGAGAAATCGAGGCGCCTATCGACCGATCTAATGTCATTGATAAAGACATACAGACATTTACTCCCGAAACCAGCAGTGTAGCTATTGGCAAGAAGCGGTTAGGATCACCAAAGTCAATTGGATCGAACGGCCCACCCTTGCCACCGAGGAGTCTTCCGGCAGATCGCGAATTGACAGCAGGTTTACTGGACGAAGATGATGGCGGAGGAGTCAAGGGCATTCCTTCTTTACAGCCGCAGCGTAGAACATAGGGTTGCCACGGTCCGCGATAGTCCTAAGCTTGATGTGATGCCGCGTACTCAGCGCAGCATAATAATAGCAATTACTGTCCTCGCTCAAGGGGATTCTCGATCAGGATTCGCTGCCACGGTTCACTAAAAATGGTGAACAGAACCTCTGCTCACTAAGATCAGCAATATATTGTTGGGTCTCTAATAGGATCTGTGGCAGAAATGTTCAAAGATTTCATTTTGCAATCTGCCTTAGAAGGACAGTCAGGTGACCTTAGCCACGTCAACCCGGTCCCTTGTAACACATCATAAACTTGCAAAATTGCGTACTGTGGTATCTCATAGAAGCATCAGGGTTTCCCCGACCACCATCTCAGAAGCCCCACAAATGCACCGGGCATACATGCTCGCTAATACGGATGGAAGAATTGAAAAACATCAAAAACCCAGATGATGTTGTCCCTAAATGAAGCTAATTCCCAAAAAGTCGTGCCCGTCATTAAAACATCATTCATATCCGTCGCGTAACGATTGAGACTGGAGCGCTGCGGACGGAGAGGGTGAAGGATCTAACATTAGATGTTGGTGATGAGAAGGGAACGCTTTCACGAGACTTACCTGCAGCAAAACGTCTACTTCTTCTTACCCTTACCCTTCTTTGTCTTCTTCCCTGCAGTCCAAAACATAAAGCCGGAAGGTGGAGGGGGTTTTTTCTTGGGCTTTTTCTCCTCTAAAACGTCGTTAGCCTCTATATTTTATAGACGGCACCTTTAAGGGTTGGCACACCCTCAGTGAGCGCACTTCCGGGCGCGATCGGTGCAGGAGGTGGTGGGGGAGGCACACCTTCATCTTCGACAGCAACAATTTCATCAGCAACGGCCTCCGCTGGAGCTTCCTCTTCCTTCTCTTCGGTCATGGGCCACATGTGCATGGTAACGGTCCAGTCGGGCTCGACGACAGTCTCCCAGACGTGCGGCATGATGATTTCCCCGTGCGGCCCCAAAAGGTCGTAATGACCTTCAGCAACATGAGGTCCAAGTCCCTCAATGTGCATGAATGCTTCCTTGATGAGAAATTCCATACCCTTGACACGCAACATCAGCTATAGAGCAGACTCAATCGTGTGTCCGTAGAACTTACCGACCAGGTGGCGCAAAGGTGGAACGGAAAACTGAATTTGCGGCCTACAGCATCTCGAAACTTAATAGGCTTATCTTTTTCCTTTGGAGGTGCAGCTGCCGCCGCTGCCGCTGCAGCAGCTGCATCAGCTTCGGCAGCCGCTTTGGCCTCAGCAGCCTTCTTCTCCTCTGCGGCTTGGTGCTCTTTTTCGGCCTCTTCTTTTGCAGCAGCAGCTGCTGCTTCTGTGGCGACCTTGATCTCTGCCGCTTTTTTGGCGTCTGCTTCTTCTTGCGCGGCCTTGTCTGCGGCGGCTTTTGCTATAGCCGCCTCTTTCGAGGCGGCTTCCTCCTTCTGGTCCAATAACATCTTCTCAAGTCGCGCAAACTTTTCATCGTCCTTGTTCGAAGTTTCGGAGGAAGGAGGAGGTGTGTTCACGGGGGCGGGTGAAGGTACAGGGTAAAACTGTGGATATATTGGGTGAGAGGGCATCTGCTGAGGCATAGGGTAGCCTTGAGGCGGATAGTGGTAGTAAGGTGCGGCAGAAGGGCTGTATGGTTGAGCTCCTGGTGAGGCGATCATGGGTGGAGCTCCATGATGTGGCTGCTGTGCAAAGTAGTTAGGCGCTGGCACTCCTGGGGAGGCCTGGTAAGGTGCAAAGCCATAGGGTACCACCTGCTGTTGGCCGACGGGAACCAAACTCTGCTGTGGATAGCTTTGATAATGTGACGGAGCGTAACCCGAAGAGTAGTGTGTATATGGCCGACCATAGTGGTGTGAGGGGCCACGGCCATAGGCCTGCCAATCGTCGTGGGAGTCCACGGTCTCCGATTCTGTCGGTGGTGGAGATCGTCGAGCCCTATGAGGGGCGTTTCGTACCCGCTCGTTTGTAATACGCCGCCGATATTGAGGGCGGCGGGCAGCTTCCTCTGGCTGAGGAGCCTCAACAATTGGACGTTCGCGATTCGATGTATGAGGACGTGAGGCAGAGTCGGAGGGTCCGATTTCGTCAGGGTATACAACCCAGCTGCCTTCTTCGTTTGGGTCGTGGCTATCAACTGCAGAGTGGGGAGAATGTGGCGAATGAGAGTTTGATAAATGCACGCCGGTGTCCCCAGAGCTTTCGCCGTCGTCGCCGAAGGAGGAGGAGCGGGAAGACTGGTCGCCTCGATCGGTAGTTGTATGATCGATAATGATATTGTACCTGACAGGAAATCAGAGTTAGAGGGTCGCCTTGGCAACAAAGTCACAATAATAGAACATCGTATTAGGATGGGCTCACGGCATGAGATCCAACTTCGTTCACAGATTACACGTTTCAATCGCTTGATTCTCTCAGATGCCCCAGATCGGGACGCGAGTTGGGTGTGCTATAAACTCAGTCGCTGGGTCTGCTACTCTAAGCAACCGCGCTACTGGTTGAGGAGAAATCTGTGTGGAGTGATACAATCCCAAATGTGAAGATTTCTAAACATGAGGTCATGTATGTTGTATTAGCAGCCAACGAGTAAGGCGACCGCGGCCTCTGCTACCCTAGGAGGCTGTTGTCGAGGTAAAGTTTTCAATTGATACCTAACATGATCAGGGTTGTGTCTATTAAAAAGACGTAAATTCGTGCGCTCAACTTAAGATCTGCGCAGGCGAAGTGGGATTTTGCTAATAGCGGTACGAAGGTACATTCAGCTGCGGCCCATGATAGCCCTGCAGGAAGTATTCACGTGCGCGCATCTTTCGCGGCCGGTGTCACGGCTTTCTAAATATGTCTACGATACGTAGTGATGCTGTCCTCCCAACCCAGGAGTGTGCTCACGAAGGGAGATCATGACTTCTTCAATCGCATGACTGCCCAGGTTAATGGGTGTTTATACCCGTCTTCCTCTGATTTGTTACGTGCTTTTGCAGCTTTGCTGAACGGCAATTGCCGCGCGTACTCAGTGGAAATCGCATTTCGTGCAAGCTTCAGCACGAACGTTCATGTGTAGAAGCTATCGTCGCTTCTCAGCACCTTTACGTACGTGATCCAGTGTCCTTAAAGCATAGCCTAAGTGCAGGTGAGTATTACCTGACCTTTGATTTGGTCTTCTCGTCGAGAAGCGCTCGGACGGCCGCAACTTCAGCACGGTCATAGCCTGTAACCGTACCACGTCGGACCGTCCCCGTCAGCTCGAGAGTGGCCGTTTCGTTCAGCCTCCGAAGAGTCTCCGTAGGCGGGGACGAAATAGATGGACTCGCATCAAGACCGGACAGAAGTTTGTTCGTCACCTAGAAGCAATTGAGCACAGGTGTTCCGAAGTGAAGTCTTTACTTACCAACTTTACTCCATAATATCCGCGAACGTAGCCGTCACAGAGCTCTACGCTTCGACAAAATCGGCGTAGAGACTCCGTGAGCGTAGCCCGATCGTCATTGTTGCTGAAGGCTAGCATTGAAAGAGCTTCACCCAAGCGTGCTTGAAGCTAGCCAGTCACAAAGGCGTCAACATTGGGGATTTATTGAACAATTCAAGTTCGACATACATTCCACGCGTTGGGAGCTAACAGAAGTACCTCTTCAAGGCAATAGATAGCTTGAGAGAAAAGCCCTTGCGAGATATAGAGGTCGGCAAGCTCACTCCAAGCTTCTATATCTGTGGGACTGAATTCGAGTAGCTCTGTCAGGCTGTCGACTGCCTCACTTGGGCGGTTGAGGGAACGCAGTAGAGCAATCCTGCGTTTGGTGATTGGCTTGTGTGATGTAAGGTCAGCGGTCTCTCATGCAAGTTCGCTTGAACAGGCGTACAATGTTCGTTGGGTTCGTTGCCAGAATTTCGTCATACTCCTGCCGAACCCTTTCCAATGCTGCCTCATCTTCTGCGACTGCTTCCTGATATAAGCCTCTTAAACCCATGACCTTTTCATTTGTAGACCCAAAACGAGAGATGAGCTTCTCCAGGCAGAGGAATGCGGCTTTGTCGTCGCCAGTCCGGAGACATGAAAGAAGTAGCTTTTCATGCTCCATCCAAATTTCTGTAGATTCAGGACTTGCGAAGAATGGGATTGGTATTCTCGATGCGCCGACGGACGCATTTTGGCGCAAAAATTGGGACGTCTGCTGGGATGACGCCAAAGCGAGTGCGTGGGTGTGTCGAAGGGGCGAATTATAATCCATGTTCCCACCCCGCAAAACGGCCACTTGGACGAAGAAGATTTATTTTCCTATGCAACCCCTGTCTGCGTACTTTTAAAAGTCTCCAAGGTCGTCGTGACTCCACTCCTAAGCTAAAATGCTAGTATGAGAGTCGCTCGTAGTAAGGCTTTGGATCATGCTGCTATACTTCCCGTCCGCAGCAGCGGCGCCGGGTACCGATGGGGCAACTACTCACCAGACGTTTCAACGATCAAGGAGTTGCGTCTATAAGTTGTAGTGTGCAAATCCGACTCTATGACAAGTGACTTGCATTTAATGTGGAGGCTGATATCGTGCATCCAATGCAGGATCTTGCGCGCCGAAGCTTGCGACCGAGCTTCGATTGTCCGCGACGGCATGGTAATCCACTGTCCATCAGCAGTCCTCACCTCCTGGTGAACAAAGAGAACTAGGAACTCTGCAGTCCTCAATAATTAGCTCGGGGTTTCATCAATTTCAACATGCAAGCCCTAGGCAACTCGTCTGCTAGCCATTGCTAACGCAGGCAGGTTCGAAAAATCGCTGTACGACCTCATTCGAGGATTACGAAACCACAAAGGCAATGAAAAGGAATACATACAACATAGTTTGCGAGAATGCAGAGCCGAAATCAAAGGAGCAGACATGGATTTGAAGGCCACAGCCCTCTTAAAGTTGATTTACCTCGAGATGTTTGGGAATGACATGTCGTGGGCATCATTTCATGTTCTCGAGGTTATGTCAAGCCAAAAATATCTGCAAAAGAGAGTGGGCTATTTGGCCGCTGTTCAAAGTTTCCGTCCAGATACTGAAGTATTGATGCTGGCAACCAATCTATTGAAGAAGGTGCTTCTTGAGGATCATCGCGGCTTGACATTGACTGATCTATTTTCAGGATGTTGCCGCATCTCTGCCACCCACTGTCTCCCTTCCCTTAATTTCTTTACCTCACATTATTAGCTCTTCCCTGGCGCTTTCACTTTTGTCTGATATCAATCCCAGACTCTCGCATTCGAGCCCCAACATTCGCAAAAAGGCGGTTGCAACTCTGTACCGCTTAGCATTAGTCTATCCAGATTCGCTCAAGTTGGCTTGGCCGAAGATCAAGGATCGTCTAATGGATGTTGAAGAGGACTCCAGTGTGACTGCGGCAATCGTCAACGTAATTTGTGAGCTTGGCTGGCGGAGACCGAAGGATTTCCTCTCTCTTGCTCCTAAGCTCTTCGAGCTACTCGTTGATGGAGGTAACAATTGGATGTCAATTAAAATCATCAAATTGGTTCGCAATCCAGAGCTTTGTATATAAGGTGCTGACTTGGCCAGTTTGCGTCGCTGACCCCACTGGAACCACGGCTGATTAAAAAACTATTACCACCATTAACCAATCTCATTCGCACAACCCCCGCGATGTCACTTTTATACGAATGTATCAATGGCATCATCCAGGGTGGGATTCTAGAAGGCACAGAAGGGGTTCGAGAAGGGGAAGAAATGGCCTCGCTCTGCGTCAGCAAGCTTCGCGGCATGATCATCATCGATGGAGATCCAAATCGTATGAGTATTCTGCACAGTGCTCCTGTAGGCTAAACTGATTTGCGAAATAGTTCGATATGTTGCTCTTCTCGCGTTTTCGAAAATCGTGGCATCACATCCCCATCTTGTCGCAATGCAAGAGGATGTGATAATGAGCTGCATTGATGATCCCGATATTTCTATTCGTTTAAAAGCATTGGATCTGAGTGCTAAGATCATAAGTAGCGAGAATCTTATGCCAATGATCGAAAGGCTCATGAAACAACTTCAAGAAGCGCCGTACTCAAAACGAAGTCAACAGCATAATGAATGGCTTCAAACGGATGTCGAGCCTACTGCAGACTCAGACGAAGAAGATCCGACAGAGCCTCTTAGGATAGACGACAGTTCAAGAGGCGAGCAGCAAGCTCTTCCTACAGAGCATAGAACAATGATCATTCGGCACATACTAGAGATGTGCTCTCATGATACATACAGCAACATGCTAGACTTCGAGTGGTATGTGACTCTTCTCTTACGGCTTTTCAAAGTAGCACCAAGTGGCTTTGCTTTAAGCGCAAATTCAGGCACGGCCAAACAGGCTTCGAACCTGCCCCAAAAAGATCAGGACATCTTCCAGGCCATTGGAAGACAGCTACAAAATGTCGCAGTCAGAGTTGTTGATGTCAGACCAAACGCAGTAGAGGCGGCGGTTTCACTCCTAACATCCGCCCATATTGGCGAATCAAGTCTTAGCCACGTTTCGGTGGGAAAAAGCATCCTAGTGCCGGCGGCGTGGATCGCTGGAGAGTATGTAAGGGATCACTCGGACGCAAGCATGATACTCAATGCACTACTACACCCTACCATGATATCCTTTCCATCGGGGGTAATATGTTCATATTTGCAAGCGATCCCCAAGGTATTCGCATACTTGATGTCTAACGATATTCTGGTTTGGGATGGTGAGCGCAGAACAATGACTCGCTTGCAGATGACTCGAATCGTAAACTTTCTTGAGCCTCTTTCGAAAAACTCAAATCTCGACGTGCAAGAACGGGCTGTCCAATTCCTGGAACTGTTCAAAGTTGGGTTGCAGGCCATCAGCTATGAAGAAGATGGTTCCAATCAAGCGCCCCTCCTTCTAACAAAGGCGTTGCCAACCTTGTTCTCGGATTACGGGCTCAATCCCGTCGCCCCTACAGCCCAAAGGAAGGTGCCAATCCCGTCAGACTTCGACTGGAGCATTCCGATTAATTTTAATTTATCGAACTTTTTGCTAGGCGGCACACATAATTTAGCTAGTGCTCCGGAGACATGTGAGTTCTCGTCATTCTATAATGATCGCCCTATATTGAAGACCCCTGCTTTCCCTGCACTCGACGCAGCGCCATCCTCAAATGTGCCCTCTATCTCATACCAGCAAATGGATGAGCCAGCTACCGATGGAGAGGTTGTGACACGCAGGCGGCTCGAGCGGCACCATCGAAACAAGGATGATCCATTCTACATTGGAGCAGACGAAGCAGTGTCGGATACGTTGTCGCCGTTCCATCAGACCCTGCAAAGATCCAATGGTGAAGATGTTGACATCGATGCTATTCCGATCATGGACCTAGATCTTGGGTCCCAACAGGTATCACTGACTTTATCTGATACTGATCCCAAGAGGAGCATAAAGAAGCGGCCAAAGAAGTCCCACATATTGCAAGATGTCACCATTGGACACGATATGTCAGCTCCACAAGATACGGGAACGGCTATGCTTGTCTCAGAAAGTCCATCACTTCGGAAGTCGACGCGGAGACGGAAGGCTGTGTTGGGTGTAGATTCGAGTGAGCTCAAAAGCCTGCAACTAGATGCAAGTGACGATAATGGGGAGCCCCAGTTATCTGGAAGAGTAGAGGCTGATGACGAAGAAATGGCGAAAGCGCTTGCTGAAGTTGAGCATCTGCGCTTAGAAATGCAGCGCGCCGTCGAGACGGTACAAGCTACTGACGGAGCACCCACTGAAGGAACACTAGTCAAAAAGAAGAAAAGACGACCGACGAAGACGATCGCAACTCAAGAGGTTCAAAATTTAGCAGCCACGGATGAGGGAGCAACAACAAAGCGGAAGAAGAAGAAGAAGAGGCCCCCAGACATGCTACATTGAGATTGAGGTCCCGTCGTCAATACAGCGGGATGGGCCGAGGGGAGCCCGGATAGCGCACCTTAATGTGCCTTAGCTTCAAAACTTATTTAGTAGTTCACCCGAGCAAACTTACAATTAGGAATAGTCTTATTTCAATACTCGAATGTGCATGAAACCTGTGGAAAACTGAGAATAACCCGTGCATTTCCTAATTAGTCTGGGGGTTTTGTTCCTCCGGACCACCCTCTTGCGGCATCGAATCCCCAATATGGACGACTACCCGTCATACTCAATTGCTCAGTCGCAAGGTCTGCTCATCCCTTACTGATTTATGAAATCTGCGCTGATAATTCTATATTAGACCAGGAATGGCTCAGGAAACAGAGCAACAAGGAATATCGTATAGCAGCACGAAGGGAGAAGAGAAACCGAAAGGCGGATGAGAAGAAGCAGAGAAAGCTCAATGCCACAATACTGCGTCGCATGGTTCGAACCCCGCAAGATCTTGCAGGATTGGGCTAACGGTCGCCAGACAAGGAACCCCGACAAATACAACAAGAATGCTGATCGCAACCGGATGCGAGAAATCGAATGGGAACGGCGCAACATATGGCAACAAGCCGTCAAACAAGCACAGCGACTGGCGGCTGTTCACGATCCCAGTGGCCTCATGTTCAATGTGAGCCCGGTTGTGACCCTGGAAGATGGGTCAGTGATTACTGAAGAAGCTCTGAAACGGCGCAGAGAAAGGGTGGCTGCAAATGCGGCCAGAGAGCAGGACACAGCGATCAATGGCGCCACGCAACATGTTGACAAACGGCCACCCGAAGAAGCGCAGCAGATTACTTCGGCGTCCGCAAAGAGGTATGAAGCTTGCGGTAATAGCATGGACCCAGATCGACTGGCCCAAATTGAGATTGAACGCAGACTGCGGGTACCCGGCCGCAGTAAGAGTCAAGTCAAGAAGCTAGCTAGACACGAACCCAGACCTCCCCCACCAAAGCCACTCATCCCGAACACTATCTCACTATTTGAAGACGAAGAGAATTACCTGGGCCTTTGGGATTTAGATGACAGCGAGTTAGAGCGAAGAATCTTTAGAGAGAAAAAGCAGAAAGCAGCAGCCCGAAAGGCGCTCCGTCTTAGGCAGCAGTCTGGGAAAGATGAGCGGCGTATGGCAAGGGATGAGAAGCGCAGGGTTTATAGGGATCTGAAGCAAGAGTGGAGGGATATAAAGCGTAGCCTTACCGATGATCTCGTTTCGTATACAAGCTGACGAGCACACTAGAAGCAACCACGCGCGAGAAAACACGACTAAATGCGCTTGAAGACGAGGAATCTAAGAAAGTTGCTGTTAGAATCTGTGAAACTGAGCGACAGAGAGCCATGGCATGCTGTGCGATCTTAGGCTTTACTTTTGAGAATACCAAAGGTGTTGATGACATCAAGCCCAGGGCGCTAGGCATGAAGGACAATAATGTGGATTTTGACGCAATCGAGAAAGGAGATTTCAGACTTGGCAAGGAACAGAGAGCTTCCAATAAAAGAGTGAATCTCGGTGATGTACCACTCCAAGCCAGCGACGAGTATATACCTACCGCGCGTCATAGCCAAGAGGTAAATCCGGGCGAATTTATTGCAATCGATGGGGGCGGGGGCAGCGGCTTTGAGACCCTCAGCTATAACCATAAACTCCGTCGGAAGCTCCGCCGAGCCATCGAATATGCAGAAATAGAAAAAGAAACCTTGGTCCGCCAGCGAGGTTTAGAGTGGTATGGCGCAGAAAGTCTTGACGTTCCCAACATATTACGCACTGCTACAAAGCCGGTCAATGAGAAGAAGCCTAGGATCTTGGAAAATGGCACTCTCGAGACTGCCAAACAAGAAAGGATTCGTACACGGGTAAGTTTAGTCGAGTTCAACGACAGAATGCGGGTTCTCCGCAGACAGGCCAAAGAGAGGGCCGTTTTTGCAGGCCTTCAAAAACATGCAGAGGTCTCTGGTAAATTGCCTGCCGAGGACGCCAAACCCGGACAAAGTCTAGATCTAGAATTTGGAGATGCTGACAAGGGAGGTTCACCGGCGAGAGCGCACGAGAGCTATGTGAAGACGAACCACGAGTTATTGAAGACCAATCAGGACTCGGAAACAAGCACTGAGAACGAGAGCGAGAGCGACTACTCTCTCCTTGGACCTTGAAGAAAGTCAACTTTCGGGCAGCCCGACTTACTAGGACAACAATGAGCAGCATTCGATGTTGGGACTCGGCTAATGCTAAGATGGGGCTGGCAAAGTACTGGCAGCCGAGGCCCCCTTTTGGCTATATAAGTAACAGTCCTGGCCAATTACTGAAATTGCTATGCACATCGGCTACAAACACAACGGGCTCTTGGGTGAGCTTTGTGAGAAATCAAACCTCGAGAGGAATTACCTCGCGAAAAGTTGACTGCCTCTCCAGACGTAGCTAACATGTCTTTACACGGCTTGATCTCGTCGCATGACTTCAGTGAACATCTTTTTTCGGCGCTGTGTAAACGCTAGCATGCGCTTTCTCACTTTCGGGTTTTGCGTATGCACACTTGTAACGGACAGTGGTCGTATCGTCTAAGCGTAGTGTATGATGATTCGTGGTATGTCGCAAGATTGCATAATACAGTCAAAAGTCCGGGTGTGCAATTAGAAGAATAAACGAAGGAGTTCAAATATAATGCCACCGCAGAGGACGAAAACGAGTAAGCCTTCTCAAAATCATGAGTGTTCGTCAGGTAGCCATGAGGTGCTGACTCACCAATCCATAACGGCGAAATAGGGGGTGTGAACTTCTGCTTCCGTTTGGCAGCGCTTTCTGGTTTGCCTCGCTTAGCTGCTTCCTGTCGTGCGTATCGCTCGTTTGCTTTTCGTTGCTGGGGTGTTTGTGCCTGAAGCAGGGGGCTGATCAGCTTCTGTGGACCCAGGTACATAAGGTATCTTACCATAGAGACTGTGGAGATGAATAGCTTCAAACAACGTTTTTGGAATGCCAATGGTCTTGGGGTTGTGTCGGGGTGCTTTCGACGCACAGGTGATACCTGACATCAAAAGGAAATCCGAAGTCCATCCCTGCTTGGCAAAACAGTTAGCGCCATGAAAACCTTTCCACCCCCCTGAAAACAAGTAAGAAACAACCTTAAAGCAATATTTTAGGCTTTCTAAGGCGTTTTATTGAAGTTCATGTATATGAAATATATTCATCTATACTTAAACGCTACTATTAATTTTTAAGATTAATTTTTAAATAGCTTTAAAATTCTAAGCTTAAGGTATTATATTTTATCCTTATTAATAGACTTCTAAAAGTAGAAATTTAGAACATCTTCAATATGTTTAATTAAAAATTCTTTATAGATGTCTTTGTAAGAGAATCAATCTTCTCTAAAAGCATTGTAGGGCTTCAATATAACATTGCTTGGAAGCTACATCTTAAGGTTTTTATGCCAAGGATTCTCGTCGATCCTGCACGGCTAAAGGCCGCGCGCCTAACTGTTCTTAGGCAGAGGTAAGCATCTTGTCCCAAAGATGAGGGGCTCTGAAAGTACTTCAAGCAGAATCACTGAACATAGTGCCTGATTCCTGACACCTCAGCATGTCCAATAAGCATCCACCACCTACCTCCCCCCATGTTCGTCAGCCTTGCCTCATTGCTCATAATAGTCTATGGCCCACTGACTGACATAGATTGGGTTCTACAAACAATTCGGCCGGCCAGTTGCAAAGGTCTTCCTGGGAGCCATCTTTGTCTACCAGGTCGTTTACCTTGGTTGGACCATTATCGAGACTGACGTTGTGAGAGACCGAAAACAACGTGAGGAACTGAACAATTATATGATCGTGGTGTTTGCTAAAGCATTACATAGGTGAGATTTTGCGGATGGAAGGCCAACTTAAAGGATTAAGCGCTTCCAAGTTCAAAGATAGAAACAGGACTCTGGTTGATTGATATCGCGCAAGCGGCGCTGAAGCTAGCCATCAAAGTTATGCAAATCAGTATCTCACTAAGGAGAGATTACTCATATTCTCCCCTAAGTTCGAGATAGAAGCATCTGTCCGGGAGACAAGCTTCAATAAGCGCAACGATTGACGACAAGTTGCCATTCATGACCTCGGCTACAATTAGCTCCTATAAATGAGTTGATGACTCGCCCACTGTTCGATCTGTTCGAATTTCCAGGCAACTTGTCTGTGTGAAAGAAGGCCATTGTGCGATGAGAGTCGGGCACGTACAAAGGGAGAAACGTATGTTTCAGTGGTTCTTCCATGAATGTTATTGTGCCGTCGGATCAACAGACAATGAAAAGATTCAGTCCCGCTGCGGCTAGTTCAGGGTCCTGCTTGATAGTAATATGTGACTGGTCATTAGCTCTTGGTACTTATTACGGACGTGAGAAACCTCGCACCATAGGCTACTTAGATTCTCCGTGAAGGGAGGCGAGAAATCGAAAAGTCACGCAGCTATCTTAGCGGAAAGGATCGAATCTTGCGGCTCGGGTATCTCTTGTCTACTCATGAAACGCGTTCAGAACTGTGTAGCAATCAACGTTGAAAAAATCACGAGATCAATAATTTTCGTAAGATGCGTACCTCGTCTAGCACCAAGAACGCTTACCACGTGTGACATTTATAACGCTAAGTGATCTGGCTTCTGACCGGACTACGACAGGCAGTTGAGGCGCGATCAAGACCGGCGCAATATTTATTAAATAGCTAGATGTATTTCGGTCGGATCTCTTTGCTCGACTTCAACCTCATGTCAAGAACAATGCTGTATGTGTTGCACCTATCGAAGTTTTCCTCAGATTCTGCAAGACCCTCGCGTGCTTGAAGTTTTGCATAGACAGGCATCTTTCCTACTTGGACTGTGGTTCCCTGTTAGACTTTGATTTTGACTTTCAAGGCGTTACTGCCTTGGATCAGAATCCTCGCTTGGATACTGATGAATTTACAATGTGTCTTTGTTACAGTGGTCCAAGCAAAAAAACACTAAGGCAGGAACACGGAAGCATTCTACCCAAAGCTGTTGTGACAAGCTTCGAGACGAATTGGGTTGCGCTTCTCCACACCTTACCAAAGAGCTCGAGTATCAAAGGCCGGTTTTGTGAGAATTAGCTATTTTCTGATTTCACTCAGTAGGTCGCTTCACAAGGTATTTCCCTCGTGCTTTTGCAGGTTCGCACGCATTGCTTTACCGCTCAAGGGTTCCAATTAAGCAGAAATCGAGAAATCTTCCTCATCCCGGTTTTCTGTCGTTCTAGCAAGATGTATGCTCCTCTCAAGGCCTAATGATTTGGATCTCTGAAGTCAGGAGACATCGCGATGTCAGGACATTTGAAGAGGATGCTGATCCTGGGGGGCGGTATGGTCGCCCCGCCTTGTGCGGAATACCTCATTTGCAGTTCGAACAATCAGATTACGGTTGGTAGGTTTGAGATTGCACTTTAAGCATCACCAGCTCATCTCATCCAGCATGCCGAACTTTGGCCCCAGCGGAGAAACTCGCTCCACAGTTTTCCTACACTGAAGCCATCAGTCTTGGTGATTCCTCTCCCAGCGACCTCGACAGACATATCTCGAAATACGATATTGTCATTTCGCTTGTGCCATGCGTTCATCACGCGAACGTGATCAAATCCGCTATCAAGAGTAAGACACAGGTTGTCACGACCAGCTACGCCTCAGGGGCTATCAGAAGCCTGGACGGGCCTGCTCGAGAGGCCGAAATAACCATTTTGAGCGAAGTTGGGGGTATGTATCACTAGACCAAGCGCTTTCCTGGACTCAAAGTTCTCATACTGATGGGAGTTGCCAAGCTAATTCACACGACAGTTGATCCTGGAGTTGATCACTGCTATGCCATCAAGAAGATAGACGAGGTCCATGCCAAAGGAGGCAAAATACTCGAGTTCTACTCGTACTTTGGGAGTCTCCCGGCTCCTGAATGTGCATCAAATTCTCTGGGCTTAGAGTTCTCTTGGTCATCGCGAGGAGCATTGCTTTCACAACAAAGCTCCGCCCGCTTCCTCAAAGATGGCACAGTTGTGAAGATATCTTTTAACGAGATCACGAGCAAAGCAGGCTCCTACCCTGTCATGGATGGGTACCATTTCGTAGCGTACCCAAACCGGGACTTTGTCCCTTTCCGTGATTTCTACGATGTCCCGGAAGCGCATACTATCATACGGGGCTCATTGCGATACGTAGGCAATCCTGCCTTCATGCAAGTTTTGTCAAATCCTAGGTGGCTTGAGCAAGACGAGCAAGAATGGTTGAAAGAAGGGATGACCTGAGCTGAGATTCAGCAACATCTGTCTGGTGCTTCAACGACGAATGAGAAGTACGCTGCGTATTCTACTAGTTGTAAAGGCAGCCTGACATCTATCTAAAGCTCTGATATTGTGTATAAAAAAGGTAGCAAAGCTTTCGAGCGACGCAAAGAGCGACCGCATCATCTCGGGATTGAAGTGGATCGACCTTCCGTCTTCCGAGAAGGCCATTGTTGTTGGCAGAAGTTTGCTGGACACACGTGCGCACAGCTCAAGAAGCTTCTGAGCTTCAATTGGAAAGAGAGAGATCTCGGCATGCTCCAGCACAGGTTCGTTATTGAGTGGGCTAACGGTATCAAGGTATATATTTTCGAACCCCCGGCAATCGGTCAACGCCTGGCCGACTTCTACACATAGGAAATTTCGAAATCCACGCTTGAACTGTTTAGAGACCCAAAGCGCTATACTGGGATGTAGCTTCCAGTCGGGGCCACTTGGTGCAGTGAGAGATCATTGGCCTGCTTTCAGCCACGGGCAACTATGGATATAGACGCAATGTCGTCACTCGTCAATCTTCGTCGGTATTAAGCCAGTGATCGAAGAGATACTGTCGGTGTCCGGCGCAGTCGGCCTCTCTCATGGCGTGCTCCATCAAGGCCAAATTGCTCATAAGGCGAGCTTCGGATATCGGGATCATGAACATAAGCTTCCTGTCGATACTCAACCCATGTTTTCAATCTGCTCAATGACTAAGGGTCTTGTGTCCTCAACCTTGGGTCTTTTGGTTCACGAGGGCAAGCTAAAATAGGAAACACCGCTCCATGAATTGTTGCCATGGTACAAGCCGGAGTCAGATGCGTTCAGAAAGAAAGCAACCTTGCTTGACGTCCTATCTATGCGTGCAGGCTTAGAAAAGTACAACAATTGGTCCCAGAGCTACAACCGCATCATCTTTGCGCCGTCGCAAAGCAGAAAGGTCATCAATAATCTGCACATGTCATCAGGGTTTCGCTGAAAATTTGCTTACAATAATTGGGGCTATGAAATAGCGAGCCAAGTTTGTAAAGAGGTCCGTGGAGAGAGCTGGGATTCTATGCTACACTCGAGATTTTTTCAACCCCTTCAGCTGAACCGAACTGATGCCACTGGACATCGCGAGCATTTTAACAATGTATCGAAGGCTTATATGGTGCATGACGATAGGACTCCTGTGTTGATACCAAAGACCTCACAGTCCGGCCAAACGGTGATGGGTGCTGCTGGCGGCGTGGTAAGCTGCATAGATGACCTGATGATCCTCTACCAGGCAATTCTCAAAGCAAGTATTGCGCAGTTCAACAGTAATCAGGGGGCTACACCCGACAGTCCTTTTCAATCCCTGATAGACACGTTCTCAGCCCACATGCCATTCCCTGGTAAAAGCATGTACGAATCTTCATACGGCATGGGCTGGGACTAGCTTTTCGGAGTCCTATTACCTTGTTTAGGTAGTTAGATAGAGCATATCTGTGTTTCGGGAGCATGTCTTAGAAATAAGCATTGTGTGATTACTCTCAAGACATCTTAAAACAGTAAAAAGAAGTCGGAAAAGAAAATCATGGATGCGCACGCAACTTCCAAATCAGATGTGCAAAATCAGTACCAACAACAGCCTTCTCGGAGAACAACCTGTTATCGGCCAGGGTGCAGAATCGAGACTAATCATAGCACACTATGGAACTATGCCAGGAAGTTTTGCTGCCGCGATTTTGTTTCCCGAGAGCGAAAGTGCGATCGTCGTCCTCACTAATACAACACCTTTATGCGATTGGACCGATTGGACGACGCAATTGTTGACTCAGACTCTGTTTGACTTTCCTGAGAAAGTTGACAGTGTCTCTTGGATGAAGCGGACTGCGGAGGCAGAGCTGGGATGGCACGCCCGTATCGCGGCGGACATACGGAATGAAAAAGGCTTTGAGCCTCCGTCACAGAAGTTAGAAACGTACGTAGGAACGTTTGTGAACGAGGCAAAACATGTTTTTTATCAGGATTGCCCAACATGGAGACAAGCTCGTACTGCTTTTCGGGGGTCGTCAAGACGAATTATTTCCTATGGAACATGTTAGCGGGGACACTTTCTCCTGGCTCCAAAGTCGAAACGAATTGGTAAGCCGAGGGAGGGTTGTCCTGCAACCAGCCACGTATTACATGATTCGATTCGGAAACGACGAGTCGGAGGGTATACACCGGTTCTTTTGGACTCATGACACAGAAATACCAAGGGGAGAAGAGTATATCAAAGTGGCGGAAAAGCAGCAAGTTCAAAATCTCATCCACGAAGAACTTTAAAGGGTTTCCAGGCCAAAAGCTGACTATATTGGGGTCTCACGAGCGCATCTGCCGACGATGAGAGTGGAGATTTTGAAGCTCGTCACCACCGACACTACAGACTTTCTCAAACCGATCGCATGCATTGACCATTCAAAGGCCCATCGACTGCAGGCTTGTGTTCAGCAATTTGATTTGGGTCGAATGTATTAACAAATATCGCTGGGGTGGACATGTCATATACTGGGCAATGGATCTACTGGAAAATCCACAAAAACATCATTGCCTCTGATCTTCGGTGGCACAGTGACTCGTTATTCTCCGTCTGACATTCGCAAAGACAAACTCAATCTAGCCCAGAAGCACGAGGCAGATAGTCTTGTAGTCTTGGAATGTGGATCTCCTTTTTAATACAGCCTTCCACCCAAAGACCTTTGCTGTTTTCCATACCGGACCGAGCGTGCTTTGTCGTGTCTCCTTTCAAGACCAAACCTCTGGATATCTTAACAGCAGACCTTGTCCTGACTCCCTTAAGAATTTCATTGATTTTGGATCACCCTTTCTCTTAAAAATTTTATCATATCACTCTTGTGACGTCCCCCGCAGACGGCTCAAGGAATACTTGTCTAGGTCACAGCATTCTCACACTTCGCATTGCCCGATATCGCCGTCGCCTGACCGCCTGGTACTAGATACTCTTGTTCATCATGTGGGCATGCCAGTCTGATCACTGTCACACCTCATTAACAAATTGCTCTTGTTGGCTAATCAGCCTATCTTATTGATCAGATACGTTGATTGGTGTGTTAGACAGGTGATTGACTAATAAGTCGTCCCGTTCACTAAACTAATGCTATCCTTAGTATCATAGAGATAGGTTTAGGTAATCTTATCTATTTAGATAAATTTTTTTAATCTATTATTAATATACTATAGTTATTTTATAATATTTTAAACTTTTATTAAATTTTTTATTAAGACTTAGTTATATAATATAAAATAAAATAATATTAAATATAAACTTAAAAAGGCTTTTATTAAATTCTTATAAGTTTCTAATAAATATTTAATTTTATAAATAGGTAGATAGCTATAGGGGTATACTTTCTAGTTCCTAGCCTAGTATCCTTTAATTAAGTTTAATATAATTACTTTAAGAAATATCTAAAGTTTATATATCCTTATTACTTTATATAAAATATAAAGATTTTTTCCTTTTAACTATCTATTTTTCTATTATTTTTTACTTTATATTCCTTATAATATATTAATTATATTAAAGCTATAGTTATTCTTAATAAGGATTTATACTTCTTTTTTAATAATCTATTACTAAGATATTATATTTCTAGAGCGCCCTACGCTTAGTATATATAGGATAAGTATTAATAGATATAGGACCTACCTTATTTCTAGTATATTAGTAAATAGATTTATTAATTAATATTTATATTAATATTTATCTTATTTACTTATTTAATTTATAATAATTTAATAATAATATATTTAGTATAGGCTTTAATTAGCCTATTTAATATGTCTTTCTAGCCCCTCTTTATTATTATTATTAATTAATTAATTAATAAGGCTATAAATAAAACCTTATTAACTATATTAGTAATATACTAGCCTCCTAGTATACTAGCTCCCCTTACTTTTAATTAATTATATAAGAATATCTACCCTTTATAGGAATACTAGAATACTTAAGTTAAATAAATTAATTAACCCTAGTATATATTTATTAATTAATACTATTACCTTATTTACTTTAATAGTAATATAGTTCTAGAATAAGAAAATATAAACTATTAACTTCTCTTTTTCTTTACTTTAAATATTTATTTTTAACTTTTAACTTCTATTTACTATATTCCTTTAGTTATTCTATAATATTAGTTTAATAGGCTATCTATTTGTTAGCTACTATTAAGGTTCTTATTTAAAAAGTACTTTTAAGCTCCTATATACTAGTATTCTTTATTAATTACTCCCTCTTACTTTTAGTATTCTAGTTATAAGATTTTAAGAGCACTAGACTATATATATTAATATTTAATATTAATATTATAACCTTTTAAGGCTTATAACTAAAGGCTAGCTTAAACTACTACTTTTTCTTATTTTAACTAAAACTAGTTTTAATACTAGGAATTAATACTTATTTAAAATAACTTACTATTTATTAGACTAAATATATAATACAACTATTATCTAGAAAGTAGTAAAAAACTTTTTATTTAAAGTAGCCTATATTAATTAACTCTTTAATTTATTATTAATAGGTAATATATTTATTTATATACTATTAAGATTTTTAATACTAATTACTTATTTAATTATAAAACTTAAATTATATAGACTATCCTATAATATTAATATTACTACCCTTATAGTATTAACTATTAGGCGCTTTCTAAATAATATATTAGACTATAATAATAAAAATATTAATTAATAAAATATTAATTTTATTTAGTAATAATAAATAGCTTTATAAAAGTTTTTAACTTATCTAAATCTTAATTTTAACCTTAATAAGTTTACTTTTATTAGAAGAGTTTTATTAGCTAGAATAAATAGTATATTAAAAGTTAATAGTATTAGATATTTTAATCTAGAACTTAAAGATATAAGAAATACTTCTTTTATTAATATTATTTATTATATTTTCTATTATAATATTTATACTTTTATAGATTATATTAAAAATTTTATTTTTATTTATAATAAATAAAAAGTTAAAGCTACTTTTATAATCTATTTCTATAGAAAAGTATTTATTTAATATTCTTTATAACTTATAAAGCTTAAAAAAAACTTTTTAAAAGAAAGTATATTTAATATTTAATATTATATTTTAATATATTAGTTTAAAAATATAAGGAAACGCAGTGCGTAGAGACCTTAATAAGCAATATATATAATGTAGTTAGTTGATAATAGATTAATTATAAGCTATTTAATAAGCTATAGTAGAAGTAGGGCCTTATACTAAGCTAGGTAGGGCTAAGCTAAGCCTAATTAGGACATCCCTATCCTACTCTTATTATAATCTATAATAAAAAAATAAACTTTTATTATATTATCCTATTTTTAAACTAAGTAATATATTATATTAAATACTTATTTTAAATATTTATTCTATATTTTTATATAATATATTCTCTATCTTATCAAATTAATAAAAATAATTTTAATATATAATTAATTTTTAATTATTTAGAATAATTTAGCTATAAAATTCTAATATAATATTAATAAATTAATTAATTTAATAATTTTAATATAGTTTCTTAATTAAATTAATTTAAAAATAAATATTAAATTTTTTTATATTTTAATATAAAAAAACTAAACTTTTTTAATTAAAGTAAATATTAATAGTTTATTTTTTTTTAGCTATAGCTATATTTTAATTTTTTAGATTAATATAGATAATTATATTAAAGAAATTAATATTTATAATAGTTTTTTATTTATTATATAATTAGAATTATAATATTAATACTCCTTATTAATAATAACTATAATAAAAACCTTTTTTAGCTCTTCTTATAAAACTATTTTTATAAATTATAGCTAAAAACATATTTAAAAATATATTTAATTTAATATTTTTAAACTTCTAAAATAATTAAAGATATCTAAGTTAAAGAAATTATTAAGGCTAAAGCCTAGGCTAAAATAGCTACCTATAATACCCTAAAGCTATAAGGGTGTACTAGGCTAGTATTAAAAACGATAATTAGCTTAAATATAATAAACTATATAATAAAAGGTATACCCTTAATCTAGATAACTTTTCGCTACTAGAAACCTTCTTTTCCTATTATATAGGAGTGGAAAGCAAGAATTTAAATTACTATAATCTATATTATATACTTTTAAATAAGTCTAAAGAGGTCTTTAGTGGTTTTATAATTAATTTATTTATTTATTAATATTATTACTATTAAAAGTACTTTCTAAGTAATAAATAATTATATTTATATTTATAGATTAACTATATTAAAAGTTAATTAGTAGAGAATTTAAATAAAGGTTTTTATTTAAATAAACTTTAATTAAGATAAAAGTCTATAAAGGTAGGAATTTCTAAAATAAAAATTTTAAATAAAAGTCTAATAAAAACTTTAATACTTCTAGTATTAATATAATCTAATATTATATTATTTAATAAAAAAAATATAGCTTTTATTAATATTATTATATTTTTATAAATGTTAGCCTTTATTTTTATAGTAAGTTAAAAGATATTTATTTTAATTTTAAATATAATATTTTACTAATTAATTAATTATTTTTATATTTATAGATTTTAGAAATTAAAATCTATTAAATAGTTTTATTAGTTATTATTAAAAAATTTAAAAATAGATACTATATTATAAATTAATATATAAAATTTTTAATCTATATACTTAGTTAAAATTTAAAAAGAAAAAACGTTTTTTCTATCTTTATATAAGAATACTATATTATAAATAAGCTAAAAGTTAATATATTTATTAATATAAATATTATTAAGTTAAAATAAATTAATATTCTTATTTTATAAAAGTAAACTTATATTAGTATTTATAAAATATATACTTTAATTACTTTTTATATTAAAAATTAAAAAATTAAATAAATAGTTCTTTTTTAAAAAATTACTATAATTCTACTAAACTTTTAAACTATAATTCTAATTATTTATAATAATAAAAATATTCTTTTTATTTAGGATTATTTTTTTAAGCTTTTTAATTAAAGTAATATTATACTTTTTACTTATATTATTAATAAGAATATTAATATAATTATTACTTAAAATAAGATTAATCTTTTAATTATTATTCTTTAAAAAATATATTTAAGGAATATTTATAATATAAAATATAATTCTTATTATATAATATCTAGTATTAAGGATTTTATTATTAAAGTTTTAAAAGGGATTTATTAAATAAATTAAGTTAAATAAATAATTATAATTATAGTTATTATTACTATTATACTTTTATTATTAAAAGTTT